ATCATATTATCCTGCTTCGTGGCATTTGTGTAGTAAAGAATTATCTTTGCCCAAAGATACCTTATGCATCATTTTTTATTTTTGGTTGGTTCTGATTTGTATCTTTTTTTTCTGTAATCAAAAATTATATATTGTCATACCTGTAGTACTTGCCTGAGTTCTGTAAGTTGTTCTAGTGAGTTATTGAGCCTGAAGAGTTGTGGGAGCTCCTAAACTTGTAGTCTTTGTTCAGAAGTGTATGTGTTCTGGAGATCCCTGACTTTGCTGGTCTTTGAAGTGAGTAGTGTTGTGAAGAACTGTGTCCTAAACCTGTGAAGTTTGGCTCAACTCCAGTAGTTAGTGTCAGAAGCTAGTGTCTAGTAATTGTGGGGAGGCTGCATATTGTGAAGGCTACATTGTTACTTGCTTGGGTTTAGTTATTTTACTTTAAAGAAGGTTGAGATTTGTGAATCATCTTGATCCATTTGGAGGACTGAATTAACATTTTGGTAAGGAGGTAGCTTTCACCAAAAAAAAAAAAAAATAGGTTTTTTGGGTCCTCCCTGGTGGCACAAGGGGTTGAGCGCACACTCTGCACCATGGAGTTTGATCCCTGGCTGGCCAGGGAGCTACCCACACGGTGCAGCAGACCTCTCTTGTCTCACCTGCTGCTCCCCTCAGCAGTGTACTTCGGTCAATCTGCCTGTTCTGTTTCCTGCTCTGTCTCTGGTGAGTCTTTTCATCCCCTGCACCTTTGGCCTGAACCCCAGCTCTTATGTGCATAGATAAATAAATCTTAAAAAAATAGTGTTTTTTTTTTTTTTTTTTTTTAACCGCTGAAGCATCATATAGCCTTCTGGATCGCTGCTGAATTTTCCAGGTGAGGCAGTCTCTGTTGTCTCCCTTCTTCCCTCCCTCCTTCTCTCTCTCTCTGTCTCTCTCCCTCTCATACACTCCCCAACTGACCATATTCCAACCATCTCTTTCATATTCCTACCATCTCTTTCATAAGTCTCTTAAACGCTGGACCATTCTTCCCCTCCCCTAATAACCCCAGAGCCAGGTGCCAGGCAGCTGAGATAGCGCCTGCACCCAAGAGGCCATTGAAATTACTCAAACTACCCAATGCTAAGCCTCCTTACCTTGCCTCATCCATTTCTTCCTATAGGAATCACAGTAAGAGCCCTTGTTTACATTTTACTCTCAATCTGCCTCCTGCTGATTCTAGTTTTCCTTTCTGTGTTATGCCTCTGTTTCTAGGGATCTGTAAGTATAACCTTTCTCCATGACTGTCATTTCTGCCTCTGCATATCTTTTTTTTTTTTTTTTTTTTTTATAGAGGCATTTTTTTTTATTTATTTATTTGTTTGTTTGTTTATACATGCACTGGGCACAGTCAGAAGCGCGGGAGGGTGAGAGAATTCACCAGAGCCAGAGCAGGGAGCAGAGCAGGCAGAAGGACCGAAGCACACCGCTGAGGGGAGCAGCGGGCGGCAGGAGAGGTCTGCACGCCATGTGGGACCCTGCTCCGGTGGCCGGGGAGCAGCCGGGTATCGAACCAGCGCCGCAGAGGCCGCGGGCAGCCTCGCAGCCCAGCGCTCAACCACTGCGCCACCGGGGAGGCCCATCTGCCTCTGCATATCTTACCATATCCAATTAAAATACATCCTGTGCACCATTAAAATATACATGAAGTGTAAATACTGCATGATTATGCTTATATGTTTCAAAATAGGTATAACTAATTATGGTATAGAAGTCAGGGTAGAGATTATTCTGGAGAAGATATCCAGAGGCACAAAGGGAACTTCTGATTTGCTAATATGTATTTCTTGAACTAGGTTCTGGTTACGAGAGTGTGTTTAGTTTGTGTAAATCAGCCAAGGGACATGTTTATAATTTGCACACTTTCTTTATATATGTAACACCAAACAGTTGCATCATTCATTCCTTTCCTCTTTCCTTGTAGTTTTCCACGTAGCTTTGTAATGCTATTCTACTCTGGAACCCACTGCATGACCTGATTCGGCCAATAGACTGAATAAGAAGTTAATAGTATACTATTTCTTGGCTGGTGCCTCAAGAAAAGTTGTATGTTTCTTGTACTCTTGAGATTCTGTTACTGAGATTATATGGACATACTGGCAGGCTCACTTATCTTAGGGAGAGAGCCTTGTATAATAGAGCTGCCTCAGCCACAGTTTCCCATCCAAAGCTCACCAGGAGCAGGCTCTCATATGTGTCGTAGAAGAGTAAGTCAAGATTAGTCAAATCCAGGATGTGAGGGCGATCTGGCTGCGACATCTGTCACCCCATTGATCGCCAGGGTTGATTCGGCTGATCTGGCTGGCTAGGTGGGTGTCCCCTTCCTCCCTCACCGCTCCATGTGCATCCCTCCCGAAGCTGTGAGCTCGGTCGAAGAGGATGGCCTTCCCCGAATAGAGATGGACCGGTCTTCGGTTGAGGGTATACGAGTAGCTGCGCTCCCCTGCTAGAACCTCCAAATAAGCTCTCAAGATTAGTCAAATCCAACCTAGATCAGTTGATCCCCAACTGACTTAGTTCACAAACTGAAGATAATTGATTTTATTAAATCATTGATTTTTAGGGTAGCTTGTTACACAACCAAAGCTGACTGATACAGTTATGGAAAAAAGATAACAAGGGCCAAAACTGGGCAAAGATAGGAGAAAGGTGAGGAAGGAATTGAAACAGGAAACACTTAACTTAAAAGGTTATTCCATTGAGTCGGGTTTGAAATGTCATACTGCTTATTCTCCCAATGCAGTACAGCATTAAGAAACCTAGTTTCATGAGACTATAAGCCAGCCTTCCCCGGGAAGCTGTTTTAGATAGAGAAGATGTAACAACTAGAAAGGCAGAAGGGGGATCTGGGTGTGGATGGGGTTTGAAGGGAAGGATAAGTGGGTTCAGTGTCAAGTAACATTGAGTTAGAAGTCTTGGAAGCACATCTAAATGGAGTTGTCTAGTAGGGAAGAAATGCAGACCAGAGCCCAAGCCTTTGCTGGAGATCTGGTTGTTCTCAAATAGGAAGTGTCTGGGGAAACTGGGACTGGATCTGTACTCTAAAGCTAGTGCAAAGAGAGCTAGAATGAGCTGTGAGAGCTGACACCTGGAAAGCGCTCCGTGGACAGTGCTTCAGTCAGCGTGAGTAATCCCCTGTTCCTATGTGGTGATCAGTTAAAAGCTGTAGCATGATTACTATTAATCCAGTAGTGAGATGATAAATATCTTTTGGTCACTAAATTGAAGTGCCCTGTATATATAATGCATCACCATATATTACACATCCTAGGAATCTGGAAACTTTCCCAAACTGGGGACAGTGTGTGCCTTTTGCTGGAACAGCTGTTAAGACAGGCCAAGAGTGGAAAGGGAGAGACTGAGTGGGACTCCTGAGAGGTGGTGAATTGGCACGAAGGGAAAAGGATGAAAAAAAGTGCTTTGGAGGACTGAATCAACATTTGGTTTTTAACACTTTATGTTAAAAACATTAACATAAAGGTGAGAGAGAGAGAGAAGGGGAAGGATGGGTGGAACCAGAAGTAGGGCCAAGGGGGAAAATTAATAGTGGTCATGTAAACAAAGAGATGAGACGAGGGAAAAGTGAAGTCAACAGAGGTGGGAATAGGTCAACCTGGAGGGTGAAGCCAGGTCAAAGGATAAAGGGAGACAGGAAAAGGAAAACAGAACTGGACTGAATCAGAGAAGAGAAAGGGAAATAGAAAATGGATGAGGCAGAAGAACAAGTGTGTGCAAGATGAAAGAAGGATGGCAAATGGAGAGAAAGAACAGCGTCTGGGTGTGCAAGGACTGGACAGGAGTGCCAAGCACAGAAGCGTCTGTACCATCACTACAGTATGGATCCCACTCCTCCGCTTGAGCTCAGAAAGAGCTCCCCGGGCCACAAGCGTTGCTCGGTGGCCTGAGTCTGGGTCAGCTCCAGGGATGGAGGGTGGAGGAGAGGCTAGGGAGGAGGGACAGCATTATGACTCTTGGCCACAATCTGTGCTGTGCTGCTGGGAAGCAGATGTGGATGTGTTTCTTGCACCTAGGCAGGGGGCCTGGAAAGAAACCTTAGAGGATTCAGGGTCTGGCGAGGCTGAGGGGCACTGATGTTAAGAGTGGAAAGGTAGGGTCGGTCTCCCCAGTGGCGCAGCGGGTTGAGTGCAGCGCTGTGAAGCTGTCCGCAGCCTCTGCTATGTGGGTTCAATTCCCAGCGGGCCAGGGAGATAGGCGCATGGTGCGCAGACCTCTCCTGTGTCGCTGGCTGCTCCCCTCAGCAGTGTCTTCGGTCCTTCTGCCAGTTCTGCTCCCCACTCTGTCTCTGGTGAATCCTCTCATCCTCCCATGCCTCTGACTGTACCCCAGCCCTTGTATGCATAAATAAATCTTAAAAAAGAGTGGAAAAAGTAATGGCCCCCAACCTAAAGGGCTGGTGGATGCCCTAAATGCCTGGGTCTGATCCAGAATCAAGGAAGAATGCAGGGGTGGGTGGGAGCTGGCAGATAGTGAAGGCGCATAGGGAATCACAGGGTAAGGGAGATCTGACTTAGGGTGATGAGGGCTTGGAGGCTGGTTGACACACACAGAGGGGTGCTGGGACAGAACAACCCCACCGAATCTATCTGGCTTCCTTTCCTTATTCCCCAGTCTCATAAGTGGCAGCCTTAGAGGTTGATGTGTGAAGAACAAATCATAGAAGGGCCGACTAAGGGTGCCAGTGCTGGGCACGGGATAGGGCCGGCGCGAGGGCTAAGGAGCGCAGGTCGAAATGGGCTAGTTGGAGACCCAGGGGCCCCAGGACACTTTTTTGGTACCTAGAAAACCTTTGTCCTGACCACCCACCTTGAGTTTGAAAGCGTCAGTTTTACAAAAGGGGCACCAAGCCGAGCCAGCGTCAACCGTGCAGAAGTGGGAGGCAGGCTGGAGGGGCGGGAGCCAAGGCCAAGGGGCGGACACGGGGTGGCGTCTTGCGGTCCATAAAGGGGCTGCGAGGGATGTGCGCTCCTCTGCGAGGGCTGGCAGCCACAGTGGAGAAACTCCGCACGATGTCAGCGGTTGACTGCCAGCAGAGCTCTGTGCTGGCAGGTAGCGCCGCTCTGGCCCTTCTGGGGGCATTTTTCCTATACGGCTCGCGCCCCTCTGCCTATGGGAAGCACTCCGAGCGCCTGCTGCCCAAGGCGACCTGCCTGCCCGCTGGTGCCGCCTGGTTCCTGCAGGAGCTGCCCTCCTTTGCAGTGTCTGTGGGGATCCTCGCCCAGCAGCCCCGCTCTCTCCTCGGCCGGCCGGCCAGTGTGCTGCTCGGTCTCTTCTGCGCGCATTACTTCCACAGGTAGTTTTCCCGGCCGGCGTCCAGGAGCGCAGCCTGCGGAAAGCGGGTGGTAACGAGGAGGGGTGGCCGGGAGCAGGCAGCAGGGCCCACTGGACCCCACCCCCAAAGGTGTGTGTGTGTGTGGGTTCAGGCAGAAGCGGTCACCGGACAGGTAGGGCTCTCCCTCCCCAGTGACCCGCGCGCCAGGCTTGCTCCAATCATCCGGCTGGCTGCGCTGGGACGGGAGGTCGAGCGGGGAGCAGGGGGAGCTGGAAAGCTCAGGCGGGGACAGTTCCTTCTCCAGCTGCGTGCGGCCTCGCATCACCTGTGGCCTCTCGGCTCCACTCCTTTCTTCCTTCACCTTCCCTTTGCAGGTGGGTGCGGGCTGGTGCTGGGGTCTTGACAGAGTCTAAGTGCTGGTACCTTCTGAAGGAAATTTGGTTCAGAGAGGCTGATCAGCTCAGTCTTTGTGAGTCTGAGGAGGGAGGTGGGCAGAACCTGACCTGACTTCAGTGATGGGAAAGAACACGAGGGGATCCTCCTGACTTGAGCAAGAGCCCCCCTCATCTCAGGTCCTACTCAAAAGGCAGGCGCCCAATACCAAGTTATCTACCTTTCCAGTTCCCCCTGGGAAGTAAGTGCAACTATGTGGAAGTTAAGTTAGAGCTCAAATGGTCTGAAGAAAAACCCAAAATTCAGGAGAACTTTGCTTTTTAGTCTGAGAAGGAAAGGCAGGAATGACACCAAGGGCTTTCAGATAGGAAGAAAGACTGTTGACCCTCTGAAGAGACTTCCAGGAAGAATAGAACACAGGCTTAAGTAGCCTGCTATGCCCAGTCATTTTAGCATTTATTCTCCTTTAGTCCTATGGCAACGCTGTGAGGCATGTTTTTTTTTTTTTAAAGATTTATTTATTTATGCATACAAGAACTGGGGTGTAGGCCAGAGGAGTGTGGGGTGAGAGAATTCACTAGCGACAGAGTAGGGAGCAGAACAGGCAGACTGACTGATATACACTGCTGAGAGGAGCAGCGGGCGAGACAGGAGAGGTCTGCTGTGCCATGTGGGTAGCTCCCTGGCTGGGGATCAAACTCATGCTGCTGTGGCTGGTGATAAATTGATCGCACTGAGACTTTAACTTCTGAGCCACCAGGGAGACCCAGGACATGTATTTCTTATGCCCACTTCATAGATAAAGAAACTGGGTGACTGCAAGGTGATACAGCCAGCTCCCAGCCAGATTCAAACCTCAGCCTCTGCAACCATGGTTTAAGACCTGTTTACTTTTTAAGCAAGCAGATGCCTCATGTCAGCAGAACAGGTTGCCAAACTAAATGAAGAGGCAAAGCCTGATTTGATTTTCTAGAGTTAAAGGAGCAAGGAAATTTAGATTAGAAATCAGGGTAAAAGAATGCCTCAAGCTGAAAAACCACAGCCCTCTCTCTTACAGAAAAGTGATGACTCATTTTGGAAGAAGGAGGTGTGCACATACAAATTTCAACCTGTCTTTCCTTAATCCCTTTTTGGCCTCAGGATCTTTTTGATTGGACAGTGTTTTAATATTTATGTAATCTTAAACTAAATTATTACTCTTTCAAAAAGATAATATTGGCAAGCAGTAGGAAGTAAAATTCCAGAAATGGGTATCTTTTCTACATATATTTGCTGAAAGACTGTTGTAGACAAGAGGCATGTCTACCTATCAATCTCTTTATTTTACCCAGATTTGAAGGTTTACTCTGCACAGAAAGAAGGATATTGTGTGAAGGAGATAAGCAAGCAGCTTTTGATGTCACTATTTTTTTTAATATAGAGGCATGTTTTATTTATTTGTTTGTTTGTTTATACAAGCACTGGGTACAGTCAGAAGCGCGGGAGGGTGAGAGAATCCACCAGAGCCAGAGCAGGGAGCAGAGCAGGCAGAAGGACCGAAGTACACTGCTGAGGGGAGCAGCGGGCGCGCCATGTGGGACCCTCCTCCAGTGGCCGGGGAGCAGCCAGGGATCGAACCGGCGCCACAGAGGCGGCGGGCAGCTTCGCAACCCAGCGCTCATCCGGTGCGCCACCGGGGAGGCCCGATATCACTATTTTTGAAATAGACATTTTATAGACAAATATGATTCTGTCAGACAGCTATCTTCACATTAACTACTGTCTGTTCGCACAGAAACAGTATTTTTATGAGATCATTTCATCTTAATGATGAGTGTTTTCTGACCATTCTATTAGCATGATCTTTAGACTTGTTTTGAAACCCAAAAGGCACTTTGTGCAATAAATTATGACCAGTATTAAAAAAAAAAAAAACAACCCAAGGAAATAATTGCTCGTAAAATGAATATCCACACACTGTCCATTTTCTTCAGGGGAAAATTTGGAATATAAGATTTGGGAAATGATTCTGCCTGAGGGAAACTACCCACTGACAATCCAGCTCTGAGTTAGGTGTCCCCAGGCATGAAATGTGGTATTTGCCTACCTTCCCTCTTGTGTGAACTCTTTCTATGAGGTCATTGTAACACTGAACCTGCTTTCCATTTGGGTGCCAACAAGGTGTTATGCTCTGTGGTAAACACTCTACATGAATTATCTACTAATCTTCATATCAACCCACCGACGTTGTCAAGAAAGGTTAAATAACTTGCTCAAGATTGCATAGTGACTTGGGGAGCTAGGTTCAGACTCAGGGAATCTGAATCCAGATCTCAGGCCATTAACTACCATGATAGACTGTTTTTTACATGTTCTCAACTACCTTGCCCTTCCCTTTTAAAAACTATGTTTAGGCTTATACTGATTATGTTTTTATTATAAAGAATAATGAATTTTCACTATAGTAAAAAATACAAAAAGTAGAAAAATATCCGTAACACCTTTAATGCTCTTAGGTGTTTTAACATCAAGGATAGTAACGGTTATGTTTTGGAACATGTCTAGTAAGGCTTTTATTTTTCTTAGGGGATTTTTTACACAGGCTTCTTATATTGAATATATGTAGGCTTTTCTGCTGCTTGACTACCTAATGTATTAAAATATTTTCTCATTATCACAGAATCTTTGTAACTATCATCTTAATGGCTTCTTGTTATTTCTTGTATAAACAGTAATTTATAGTTGGATATTTAATTTGCCCTTTTGGAGGGGGTGGAGGATCTAGGTTAAATAAAACTGTGATGCACTATTTTTTGCCCAAATTCTTTTCACAAGTTAGGACTATTAACCAAGATTTCCAGAAGTGGTTCAAAGGCTCTGAGCATTTTGTAGAGTCTTGATACATATCTGCTGTGAGGCTCTAGGAGTTTTTGGTTTGATAAAGAGAAATAATTAAGCATAACCAAGGAAAAGGTGTCAGGCTGTCTTGGCTTTCCCTTGTCCGGTATAACTGTGACCCAGAGGTGAAGATGGAAGGGCAAGCGCTTAGGAGGAAGGCTGGTGCATGTTACTTACTCTCTTTCAGAAATTGTCCTTGGGAATTGTTCAGAATTATGTACCTTTGGGTAGAGTTAAAAGTCTTTGCACATTTCTTCATATAGAAGTGACTTGCGAGGATGGAAGTTCCACAAAGGCCAAGCTTTTTTGTCTCATTTGTTTGTTCATGGCTATTTCCCAGTGTACAGAAAAGTACTGTCCATTATTGGTTTGCACTAAAATTTGTAGAATGCATGAATGAACTCTATTTCTGGCATCAGTACAGACAGAATTGTGGGGGAACTAGGGTTTACTTGGGCATCCTTGTTGAGACTGCATGGCTAGTTCAACTCAAATAATTCCCCTCCCTTCAGAATCTGTTGTTGTGGATATTCGGATGGTTTAGCCACGTGAAAATGACTGCTGTGTAAGCATGGCGCCTAATCCCACTGCCAAAGTTGTTTAAAATTAGAGTTATCTCACCTCTCATTGACCTTGACGACAGCCCTGGAATGATCCTTTGCCCACACTCTTATTGGTCTTCATGTTCCCAAGAAGCATTGGTGGCTCATGTAATTGTCATCACAGCATCTATGATCTGCACCAGTGATATTTTTTTCAAGACTGAGATGTGACCTTGGTGCTTGAATGAAAAAGCAAAAGAAATCTCTTTCTGAAAAAGGTGACTGTGTTGTGTGAAGTTGCTGGGTGGTATGACTTTCCTTGATGTGCCTCCAGAAGCAGAATGTAAATACATTAGAATCTGTTTGAATTTAGAGAGAGCTCTTCTGGGCTTTAGATGATGAAGATTTCCTAGTTAGCGAAATAAAATGATGGCTCAATAACCTGTCATTTTGTTTTCTTGATCACATCAATCTTCAGCAGCTCATATTTTTCCCTGTCCTTCAAGGCTCAAGTCAGGCATCACTTCCTCCAAGAAGGCTGCTCTGTGTCCCTCCTCTGTAAGTCTAGGTGTGATACCATTCCTTGGGCTTAAGTGGCAGCCATTATGTCATTTCACATAATTAGCTGTTTTAAGAAAACTTCATCCTCATCTTGTCCTGTTTCCTTATTTTACAGAAGCAAAACCCCAAGAAGTTGAGTCGATCGGAGGCAGGGATGGAAGTGGAATCTCCCCATATTCCCTGTCAGTGCTTCTCTAATCTTATCAGAGGTCCAGATGTCTCAAATTTTCAAAAGTAATCAAATGTTACCACTGAGGTTTCTCCTTGACTGTGAAACCAAATGATGATTAATGTCTACATTGGAAGCAGTATAGACAAATCTCTCCTTTTGCAGATAGGGAATAAAGATCAGGGCAGGATAATCACATTCTTGTGAACTAGGGACATTCATGAGGCATGATTTCTATCAATTAAGATTAACTGGACAGTTTTTAGAATGAGCATTGGCAATTTTTTTCTGTCAGCAGTCAGAAGTAATTATTTTAGGTTTTGCAGTCATATAGTCTATTGCTAATACTCAACTCTTCTGGTGTAGCATAAAAACAACCAGAGATAGTATGTAAACAAATGAATCTGATTGTGTTCTAATAAAACTTTATTTACAAAAACATGCAATGAGCTGTATTTGGCTATAGGCCTTGGTTTGCT